ACTTATTTATCAGATTTTACATTTTCAAATTTTATTTTAACATTTTTTTTCTTGATTTTTTTTCATAGATTTTATATGTTGGGCTATATTTTTTCTATTTCTTTTTGTCAAATTAACTCTTATGAATTGAATTTTTAAATTAATTTTGCAGGTATTCTCTTCACTTCATGCCAAGTTCAAATGTTGAACATTAACCAATAAAAAGGATTTCTCTAATATCCCGCAGAACAATAGAAATACGTCTTTGCTTCTCACTCCAGAGGAAAGCTCACCCCAAGAATGGAATAGATCCTGATCTTCAAAATGCAATGCATTCTGTAAAATTGTCTTCCAAAAAAGACCAAAAAACAATGTTGTAATATATAGGCATGCATCTAAATTTTTTGATACAAATAAGCTGATAGAAATATTCAATTTCTGTCTGCTTCTGTTCATAGTTTCTAAAACTTATTGGTTATTAATATATGGGTCAGTTGTTCTCGTACCTATTGATAACTTTTGTTTTTTTGTTTTAGTAATATCATTAGGTTAAGCCTCCTCTAACATCCATACTACAAAATGAGTTATAAAAGTAGGTATGATTCATTCTGATATCGTATTCGGTCAATAATGGTATCTGTCAATACTCAAAGCTACAATATTGATATCGTATCAGAAATGAAAAAGTAGTTTCGGGACAGTCCTAATTAATATAGCTCCAATTCTCAACAAGTCACCTGAACGTATTTTACACAGATAATTGAACCGGATACAAGCGGCTGAAATGAGTTTTCTCCGTAGTGTGTCTGGGTTCTCCCTTAGAGATATGGTGAGGAGCTCAGTCATCCGGGGAGGACTCAGAGTAGAGCTGCTGCTCCTCCACATTGAGAGGAGCCAGTTGAGATGGCTCGGGCATCTGATGAGGATGCCTCCTGGACGCCTCCCTGGTGAGGTGTTACAGGCACGTCCCACCAGGAGGAGGCCCAGGGGGAGACCCAGGACACGCTGGAGGGACTATGTTCCTCGGCTGGCCTTGGTAGCGTCTTGGGATTCCCCCGGAGCAGCTGGCACAAGTGGTTGGGGAAAGGGACGTCTGGGCCTCCCTACTGAAGCTGCTGCCACCGTAAGCGGGAGAAGATGGATGGAATTCAATCAGATCATACAGATTGCTAAAAAGTTCAATCTACGAGAACCCAGCTGATTCCATCCAGTCATTGACTTTGCATGATTTGCTCCTCCTGGATGGGCATGTAGAGCCAATAGACATTTGCTCTCAGTGTGGTTGACTTTGCAGCAATCCCTCATGAGAATACATGCAGCAACAGTGGAAAGG